TGCGGTACATGGGGCAGACCCAGGAGGAGGACTGCCGGATGCTGCTGGCGGAGTTTGCCGAGCACGGATCGCTCAGCGACGCGTTTGAAAGGCTGGAAGGACAGCTGACAAGAGAGCATCAGGTGGTGATGATGCAGCAGATTGCGCAGGGCATGGAGCATCTGGCAGAGAACGGGGTCGTGCACCGGGACCTGGCGGCGAGGAACGTGCTGCTCTTCGGCTTCGACGAGGAGGACGTGCGGAAGACCTCGGTGAAGGTGACGGACTACGGGCTGGCAGAGGAGCTCGCCAACTGCACTCACGCTACGGTAGCGGCAGGACAAGCAAGGCCAGTGCGGTACATGCCGCCAGAGTCACTGCAGAGAGGACGGTACTCGGAGAAGAGCGACGTGTGGAGCTTCGGGGTCACGTGCTGGGAGCTCCTGACGTCAGGCAAGATCCCCTACTACCAGATGACGGAGGACGAGCAGGTGATCGTGTACGTGTGCGGGGGAGGGAGACTGAGAGAAGAGGAGATAGAAGGAGGATGCGAGGAAGGGCTGTGGGGTATGGTGGAGAGCTGCTGGAGGGCGAGCGACATGGAGCGACCGCGGTTCTCCGAGCTGGCGATAGTTCTTGGGAGTGTGAGGGAGGAACAGCCGGGGAGGCAGGAAGAGAAGAAGCAAAGGAGGGAACAAGGGACAGATGAGGAGGGGCACGTCAGCATTAGGAGGCTTGGGGAGAACGTGACGAATCTGTCGGAGGAAGACATTGATGGAAGGATAGACACGGTGATCCACGAGATGAAGATAGGAAAGGACGATGTCAGGGTACAGGAGGCAGGATTTGGAGCGCTGAAAAGCATCATTGCAAGCGATGCGAAGTACCAGATCAAAGTGGGAAGATCAGGAGGGATGAAGGCGGTAGTGAGAGGGATGGAGAGGCATCCGAAGTATGCTGGGATACAGAAGAAAGGAAACGAACTACTGAGAAGCCTGACGAATGGTAACACACCAAACCAGCAGAGAGCAAAAAACGTGAGAGCACTGCAGGCAGTAGTAATGGGGATGACAGCGCACGGGGAGCACGCGGGGGTACAGGAGGCAGCATGCAGGGCGCTGGCGAGCATGACGGCCGACAACCGCGACAACACGATCGAGGCCGGGGAGGCAGGGGCAGTAGGGGCGGCCGTCGGGGCAATGGAGAACAATGTTGAGGACCAAGAGATACAGGAGGCAGCATGCAGGGCGCTGGCGAGCATGACGGCCGACAACCGCGACAACACGATCAAGGCCGGGGAGGCAGGGGCAGTAGGGGCGGCCGTCGGGGCGATGGAGAGGCACGGGGAGCACGCGGGGGTACAGGAGGCAGCATGCAGGGCGCTGGCGAGCATGACGGCCGACAACCGCGACAACACGATCAAGGCCGGGGAGGCAGGGGCAGTAGGGGCGGCCGTCGGGGCGATGGAGAGGCACGGGGAGCACGCGGGGGTACAGGAGGCAGCATGCAGGGCGCTGGCGAGCATGACGGCCGACAACCGCGACAACACGATCAAGGCCGGGGAGGCAGGGGCAGTAGGGGCGGCCGTCGGGGCGATGGAGAGGCACGGGGAGCACGCGGGGGTACAGGAGGCAGCATGCAGGGCGCTGGCGAGCATGACGGCCGACAACCGCGACAACACGATCAAGGCCGGGGAGCGGT